TGTAAATTCCGGCCAAGGCGAGACAATATAGGTCGTCCAAAGTTCAGGCGTTTTTCCAATTTGGCATCTCATGAACTACCATCACTAACCACCTCAGGATTAGGATGTGATAACCAGTTGACCAACACGGAAGCCAAAACCAATCTGTCCCCTCATGCACCCCAGATTCCAACAATCCCAAATTCATCAAGCCTGGATGTCCTCCCTCTAGAGAATACTAATGCGCACCGCCTGGCCAGTCTCTGTTCTGCTATTCAACGCCTGCAACCAAATCAACAAGCCGACATCATACAGAAATTCGAGCGTCTACTTATATCCCAATACTCCACCACCCAAGAGCGTTTATCTAACCCTGGTTCCCCAACTTTGTGTGACAACCTTCAAAATCGCTCTGCCTCGCCTTTAGCCCCTTCCTTTTCTTTAGAGGATATCTTGATATCGCCAAACAATCTCACCTGGTCTTCTACTGGCCCACCTCTAGATCATCTCAAACAAACCAGCACTACCTCTGCTCAGATAGGCCAATGCAACTCAGCCAGTACTGTCATACAACCTCCGATTGACATTGATATCAATAGCCTCCAAACCACTCAGCTTCCTACCTCAACCACAGTTCACAAGCCAATCGATCTAGTTTCTGAGCTCAACACCAAGCTATCTGATCCACCACCTGAGACCAAAGCAAGTACCAATACACACCAAATATCACACTTATCACCCACTGCTGACTTAGAATTCTCTCAAACTTTAGGAACAACACCATACGATCTCGACTGGACAAGAACTCAGTTCAGGGCCCCACGAAGAACCGACAGACCACTCAACTCCAATTGCAGCGCCAGTGAGTAACCTCTGAGTATGAAATACTCATTCATACTCATTGTCTGTTCATCACTTACTTAACTTACTATCACCGGTTCACAAAACGTAGGAAGACCAACATAACAAAGAAGAACATACCACCCTTCAAGACGAACCGTCTGATCACCCAGCTCAAGTAGACCCTCAGCTCCCTCAGGAACAACAAGTAGCTGTCGTCCCAGAGGTCACGATAGTGAGTATGATATCATACTCACTCAACAAGTTAAACGAAGTTGAATTGGACTCACCTTTCAACTCCACTACTTTTCATATTTTACACTAGCAAACTTTTGATTCAGAACCTCCACGAACCCGGAAGCGTGGGCAGGAGGACAATTTGATTTCATCAGCTTCAGAAAATAAAAAAACACCCAAAGTAACCACGTCTCGTCCCAACACTCGCTCAAGATCAGCACGCACCCAAAAGAAGTAAAGCTGTTAATTATCATTGTCAATCTTCTTAATTTTGCTTATCCTTTGTTCCTTGTCCCTAAGATAAATATACTTGAATGACTTGTAGTAGTACCTACCCACAAATTCAAGCAATACCATCTATATGTTTTTCATTTGACTATTTGAGGACCTTAGTTTCATTGGAATCGATCAATCTGATTTATTTGTACGAGAGGTGGATTGAATCCAGTGTGATTGATTTGATTGTTATTGATATCAAATCGCGTTATCACAATATCAATTTCATTAACCCACTGGACATTGATTCTATCACTGTTTACGATCT